TTAATCCGTTGGGTAAATAAATAAGAGGGGAAATACAAAAGTTTTTTTTTTTTTTTTTTTCTTTTCCTCTTAATCGAAGGTGAAATTTTTAGGTTCCAGGGATTAGGAGGTGATATTTTCTGAGAGAGTAACTCTTCAGCCTACATCATCATTATCTTCAGTATGCATTATCATTATTTTAGAAAATGAAAATCATCATGTTCTGTCCTTTATAGAACTCACATTGACATCTTTGGTGACCTCCATAAATAAAAAAGTCATGACAGCTGGGGTGCTTAAACTTCCATTTCAAACAAACTTTTTAATCTGATTCTAATTTTACAGATGAAGAGAAAGAAGAACTTGGTGCTTCATATACACTTAGCTGATTTTTTTTCTCCTTGCTGACTTTACCAAATTCATCAGCCACATAAAATGGGAAGAAGATTCTGAAGAGTTAGATCATATCTATAGTTGTTTGCACCATGAACCTCGATTCAAGGTATTCACCCATTTGCCAAAAGGTAGAGCAATGAGGTAGAAAGAGCATGAATCAGAACTGGAGTTGAATTTCTGAAGTGTGAAGCTGGGTTATCTCAGATTTCAGTTTGAGCTCCACTGAGATTTTGTGAAAATTAAATGGCATTTGTACAATTCTTATCATGTTGAAAGCATCTTAAATGTTGTAATTATTATTTGTACAACTGTTGCTTTCCATCCCTACTGTTTGTTTTTTGGTTTTGTTGTTTTATATTTTTGTCACAGGGCTTGTGCACTCAGCAGAGAGAGACAGAGAAAGAAAGAAAGAAAGTGAGAAATCAACCCACAGAGGGATTAACCATACAGCAATCCCTTCTTTTCTAGTCTTTTCTAGTCTTCTCTTGGGATTTTGGGAATGCACACACTCACGCCCAGCATGATTTTAAAGCTGCTGGGTCCAGGATTTGAACTGCCATGGGTCATGTGGGAGTACAGTGCCTTAACCACTATACCACCTTCTGGCCCTCTATCCTCATTTTTATAACTTGAGAATTTGGAATTTATTATCTCACACAGGATTCACATATATACTCTTTACTAGTCTCTATTGTACTTCATTTTACAAATAACTATCAGATTCACTGTGCCAAATACATTTGTATATTCATAAAATTCCCCCCAGCACGTAAAGTACACAATAAAGTCATGTCACCTACAAATTAATTGAAACCTTTAATTTACATTGGAAGTTGCAAATAGTGAGCTTAGATACATGACTAAACCTTATTTCTTCTGAGTGCATCTATAAAATATTCCTGGAACAACAGATTAGCATAGACTTTACTCATGGAAGAAATGAAGTCTTTCTCAGTGTGGTTGGACATTATCTGCTTTGTTAAAGGCCTGACTAGAACAAAAAGGCAGAATAAGAAAGACTTTGCTCTTTGCTTGACTGTAGGACATGAAATACGGGTCTTCTCCTGTTCTTCAGCTGAGGAACAACATTGGTGCTCCTGGTTTTCAGGTGTTTAGATTCAGACTGGGATCTGCTTGTAAATGGCAGATGGTAGACTTCTCCCAGCCCATACCACTGCACCAGTAGAGTTTTGTGATTTAACTTGTAGTTTTGCACTTATTATTACTCTTACCCTGTTTAGTTTTGGAATTCCTTATACTATCAAATGAATTGCAAGATTGACAGTAAAATCCAATTCTTTTACTAAGTTTAGCTCTCTCTGGTATCTAACAAGATGACGTAGTTATCAAACGCTTCAATTTTTTTCTTGGGCTAAGCTGTTTCAAAGGAAAATTTTATTAACTTGCACTCTTTGCTTTGTTGTGCTTCAATTCTCTCTCTCTCTCTCTTTACCTACAACTCTTCAACACATAATCCCATATAAAAACAGTAAAAGTGCTCATGATTCTGTGGCATTGTGTGGGTCATTTTACCCTTTTTCAGGCACTGAGGAGTGTTATTTTAAAGTGAAGATTTGAGTAAAATGAGTTTTAGTTCTGAAATTCTACCATCACAGAGGACTGTAATGTAATAAATGATCATTCTTTAAGCACTCATGATCTGTAAGCCAGACAATATAAAACATAACACATAGTTGCTATCATGTATTACTTTTTTTTTTTGAGAGAGAGATTTTCGCTATAGGGTGCATGGGCTCGCCAGACAGACAGAGAGAGACAGAGATACAGAAAGCGAGAAATCACCCCCCAGGGGGGATGACCATGCCAAAATCCCTTCTCCTCCATTCTCCTCTCGGGATCTTGGGCACGCACGCACACGTGCCCGGTGTGAGTTTAAGCCACCGGGTCCAGGACTCGAACCGCGGTTGACTACATGGGAGTCCAGTGACATAGCCATTATGCTAACTGCTGGTCCCATGTATTACTTTTTCATGTATTAATGGAAAACATATTTATATCTCACTTGTAAGAATGTAATACTATAGAGTTTGGCTCATTTACTTCTCTTAGTATTAATGCATTTGGAAAATAATTGTTTATTGAGTATATTCTCTGTGCCAGGAACTATGCTGGCAATACAGCATCTAGAAGTTTACAGTTTAGTAGGAAGAACACATTAACTGATTTTAACAAAGTACCGTGTGAGGATAAAGATTTGCACAGAGTGTTGATGAAAGATGCATAGAAAAGAAGCATTTATTCCAACTGCAAGGAGAGAAGAAGTTAGCAAAAACTCTTGGAGGTAAGAATACTTGAGCTCACCAAACATGAGAAGTTGATAAAACAAAGATTTACAGCCTGGGTAAAAACATGAGATAAAGAATAAATCATAAGTCTGCCATGAATCTAAAATGCAGGGTAAGAAACGAGAAGAAAATAAGCCTGGGAAGGCAAATGGGCTCCTGCTCAGAAAGCTGCTATGAATGATACTCATTTGCTTAGACTTTGATCTGTAGACATTTGAGATTCAATGGAGTGTTTTAATAATAAAAGTATCATGATAAGACACGTGTTGTAGGGAGATCATTCTAGCAGAACTGGGGAGGGTGACTTGAAGAGGTCAATATTGTGAGTAGGTTGATTAGCAGGTAGCTCTCGGGACAAAATTTATGTAAACATATTCACATGTCCACATATGAACATAAGGACAGCAGAATTTCCTCATCTCCCTTTCTCACCAGCTCACATACCTGAATGGAAATAGTTGCACAGCAGGATGAGCAAGTTTTATAAGGCTTATGTTAAGACATTAACTGAAAGGCCAGGAACAAACACAATTGCACAAAACATATTATCTGGCTACTCTTCAGATGGAATGGATGTCATGATTGCAGTATGTTATCCCTTGGTCGTGCTGGAAGTCAGATCACGTTAATGTCAGGAAATGACTCATGGACAGGAAAAGGCTCCAACCCTCATCTAGGCAGTGTAGATAGCAAACTAGACAGGAGTTGCTCAAGTGCTGCAGCACATTTAAAAAAACATGTCTCCTGATCC